TCCTTTTGTCCCTCTGTGGGGGGAAACTCCCACTAGGTTTATATCTGGGACTCCCCACGATTTGACCTTAGAACTGAAGAAGCTTCTTGGATGAGAGGTGAAACATCTTCAAGCTACTTAAAGAAGTCCAGACGCTTTTCTTTGCAAGCTCCTTTGACTACGATGACCTGGATGAGTCTTCACAGACTTTAAGGCTGTAAACCACAAAAATATTTAAGGAAAGTAACTCTGAATTAGTGTGCAGACATTTTAACTTTGTTATCAGCAAAGTCCTTAATGGGTGTAATACCTGCACCTTTGTAAAGTGACCATCAGAGTTCAAAGTAGAGGAAGGCAACAAATCAGTGATGATCTTGACTGGTGTAAAAGTCTCTCACAGCTGACACACGGACCCTGCTCGACAGGCTGCACTCATCTGGCATGGGGTTAGCAACTAGCCTTCACTCAGCGACTGAGTTTTCACTGTAGCAGTCCCCCAGACCAAGGAAGATTTCCACTTCAAGATTCATTCAGAATCTAACAGTGCTGAGGTGTGCCAATACACTGTGAAAACTAAACAGAAATACAAAATACATCTTTTAGTTCCAAGGGCTGCAATGTGTTAATGTCGCGAGAGTTCGGTATCACGCTGCTTCGCGCTTCATTGAGAGCTGCCTACCGGCACATGTGCACCACAAAATGCGGTCTGAGCTTGAAGTGCAGCTTGCCACTAACTAAGCGACAGAGCCCTCTACTGGACACTAGCTGTAGCTGTACAGGCTTATATTAATAAACGAAAAACAGACCTTTACACATATTCCATTCAAAGCCATAACCTGCTGATATTTTTTATAAACTGTTTGATTAACACACATCTGAACATCACATTGTAAACACACTCACACGCAGAGAGACAGAGCTCAATAATTAAAAACGTGTGCAGCAGCTTTTGGTCTTTTATAAATAAAACAGATGCACAAACTCCTTTTAGGTTTCAAATTAACAATCAAATAAAATCCATCTCAAAACATGTTTCTTCTCTATTTCAGTATCATGACAGGCAGCTTTAAACTCAGTAAGTAGGGAGTTGAATTACTATAACAAATCTAGTGTTATGGTTTTTAATTATGAGGTTTTTTTCTCCTAAATTCCTTTTTAAAAAGTAGTTGTCACATTCATGTTTCAGTTTCAGAATTAACTGTGTGTTACAAGTGGTTTGAGGAGGATTTCATTATCATCTGCTGTTCACAGCATATATCTCAGCTATAAATAAGACACATACACAAGCCAACATTACAGTGACTGATGTGTATGGTAGCACTACAATAACCACTGTCTGATGTTTACTCTCTTCTACTTGGAAATTCTTGTACTACTGTGACTTTTATGTGCGTATCTTTCATGTCATCTTGCGTGCGTTAAAGATGGGTGATGGCTGCCTTCTTGATCCAGCATTAAAAAGAATAGAAAAGAAATATACTGGTGGTGGTCAGAGGGCCCGGTGGTGCCAGTGTCCGGCAGCCTCGCCTCTGTCAGTGCGCCCCAGGGCAGCTGTGGCAACAATGTAGCTGCCATCACCAGTGTGTGAATGTGTGTGTGAATGGGTGGATGACTGAATGTAGTGTAAAGCGCTTTGGGGTCCTATGGACTAGAAAAGCGCTATACAAATGCAGGCCAGGTCATTTACTCACTTCACCTTTAGGAAAATCTAAATTATCTAATGAATCGTGGTACTGAGCTAATCCAAAAGTAATAGATTGAGTTCAAAATTTAAATTATTTTAAAATTAATTTAAAATTTGCACAATGACATGTCATTTTTCTTTGCCTCATATTCCTGCATTTCTTTTCCCTTTTCAGTTACATGCCTTTCACGATAGCTGGATCTCGCTCCTTGTTGCTCTGAGTCGTCAGCTTCTTCAGCAGGGTTACACATTTAGTTACTGTAATGTGTATGTTGCTCTATGTGATAACGTCTGCACTTAAATTTAAGTGAGTGTTACTTTAACTTTTGGAAACAATGCTCACATCAGACGTTTACACCATGTAAATAAACAGATTAGCACCCACATATTTGACAACATGTAACTGTAAATACTGCTGATATACCACAACGTTACTTTCAAGAAGAATAAACCCATTTTAATTTTTTCACTTACATTTTGAACAGATGCAAAACTTGAAAACCTGAGACGTTTAAGATCCACAAATGAATTACAAAAATAAGAAGGAGTTGAAAACACCACGAGGAGCTTTAGGGTTATTTTTGAAAAAGACTAAATTAATTGAATAATAGGCAGCAGAACTGAATCAAATGAAAGCATTACAATAAACTAATAAAGACATGTGGCCAGAGACAAAGGAAAGGGGATGGGGGCACTCATGCAAAAACAGTATATGCACATGGTTGCACATTTTTCATGTACACACAATTCCACCAAACTATCACTACTGACTGGCCTTTAAGATCTTTTCAGTCAGGAGAGAATCCTGAAATTGTTTGTTTATGCTTATAGACAGTGAGGTGGAGTCCGCTCCTGAAGCTTCTCTCCTACTGGAGGGAGAAAACACTGACGATAAACCAAAACAATCTGCAGCAAGAACCAGAACAATCCCGAACACCAACAGGTACGAGTTTTCATGCTTACAGTACCAATCAGATTATCTCTGTCTACACAGGTGTTTCCACGGTAACACTTCTAGGAAAATATTATGCGTCAGTGGTGACTGGTGGTAACAACATTTTGGGGTTGGAACTGGGTCAATAAAAGAAGATGTTATGAACCCGACAATGGGGGAAATAATCCTTTCCTCTCCCAGTGAATTGATAAGTTAGCTCTCTGAGAAAGAAACGAGCAGTCTCTAATTTTATGGTAGTTTCATTGTATAACATAAAAGTTGGTATGCACAGCGGTACAGTGTTTCTTGTAGTTGGTCACCAGGTTTGCCTCCATCTCAGGAGGGGTTTTAGCCGACTCCTCGCTCTACAGATACTCTCTCCTGTAGACTTCTTGAAAGCTGCTCTGCAACTCGAAGCTTCAGCTCCGCCACAAACCTTCATGTGGTGGGTGGGAGGTATTGTCCAGCATTGTTCTTATACTGGACAACATTGCCCTCTGCAGCACCGCTGTTGGAGAGTCCAGCTCCACACTCCAAAGGGTTACTGTCCTTAAGGATCCGTTTTTTTGAGTATCTTAGTGACCCTCAACGTGCTGCCCAGCTTGCAACAGCACAGAGGATAGCACTGGAGTCTTTTAGCCTCCATTTCAAGATTGATCAAAGACGTCCTACCAACAGTTAATCTTAAATATGATCAGCCTCTCCATGCTATCAGCTACGTACCACGGGCTTTCAAGCTGGCAGTAGTTAAACCATTACCTAAAAACCCATCGCTGGACTCAGGTCTCTTAGCTAATTATAGTCTTACTTTACATTTATTTTTTTGGAGTTTTGGTTGATGTCCTTCTCCATCAAAATTAAAATACTATAAAAATTGAAAATTTTTAAGTTTTTGGAAGTAAGCCAACTTAAAAATTCAGCAGGTGATCAAATAATTATTTCCTTCACTGTAATATTTAATTGTAGAAACAATAGCCAACTAGAGAAGTAACCGTGTGCCTAAATACACCTGAACTGTGTTTCTCTACTAGCAATAACCTCATTTGTCTCTGACTCTCTTTCCATAGGTCCAAACTGAATACTCGCATTCAGGATAGTGAAGCGAAACCCCAGAGCTTCCAGGTAATCGCATCCACAATTCGCTGGTAGTCTACTAGATGTGTTTCTTTTAATGTACTGAGAAATGTGAGTGATGGTATTTCATATTTTCAGTTGTGCGTAAACTGGACAATTGTCTTAACCCTGATGGGAACACATGCTCTAATAACACGTGCTATTGTTTATCTGGCTCATAGATTGCCATTAATATCACAGAGGCCAGACAGCTTGTGGGGGAAAACATTGACCCGAGCATAGTGATAGAGATTGGTGATGAGAAGAAACAGACATCAGTCAAGGAAGGAACCAATGCTCCTTTTTACAATGAGGTAAAAAAGAAAAAGAAACAAAAAGAACCCATTTGAACCAGCTGTGCTTCAGTACAATAGTTTACTGTGCATTAACACAATCTGTCACCCTGTCCTGTCATTTCTTTCCATCAGTATTTCGTGTTTGACTTTTTTGCCCTCAAAGATGTCTTCTTCGACAAAGTGATCAAGCTGACGGTGGGTAAAGACTGCAGCGATACGTTTCTGGCATCCCTAAACGATTGGTTCAAAAATCCACAGTTTAGCTTTTAAGTCATTTTAATTCTGCCTTCATTCTCTCTCCAGGTTTTACACTCTAAAATGCTGAGGAGTTTCTCTGTCGGATCCTTTAAGTTAGATGTGTGGACAGTCTACAAACAGCCAGGTATCCTAAATTTTTAATATGCAATATGTTGCCAAACGTATCATACACACCAGTCCAAATAACGGAATTCAGTTATCAGCATGGAGACTGCAAACATTAGAAAA